ATACAAACAGAAAGAAATCATATAGAGACAACGATATGACTAAATGTACAAAGATAAGTTACAAGAACTCGAATTACCACATCCTACCAGGAGGCCCAAGAGACCCATAAGGCCCACCCACTTACTCGGACCTTGACTCGGACCCTGACTCAGGCTGGTCGCTGCCAGGGGCTCGGCAGAAGGCAGGAGCGGCGGCGCTGGCGTCGGGGCGCTCACCAGGACGCAGGCGACACAGACCCAACATCAGCCGCCGGCGGGGCAGACGCAGGCCCAGCTCTCCCCTCGGCGCCCGGGCCGTGTCCCCAGAAGGGCTCCCGCCGGGGCCCCGCGGTCGCCCCTGCTGCTCGCTGAGCGCCAGGTCTGGGGGCTGCGCGCCCCAGGACCCCGGACGCCTGCGCGGGTCGGACCCGGAGCCGGACTTCCCTCCCGCAAGCCCGGGCCCCCGGGACCCCGACAGGCCGAGGCCCAGGAGCCGAGGAAGGACGGCGGACCGCGTCCCGGACGCGGGAGGAGGGACCGGCCTGTACCAGGATGGACAGTCGGGCGGCCGGGGACCCGGAAAGGAGGCTGCACGGCTCCCAGCAGCTCTGTGGGTCTGAGTCCTGGGCTGGCCCTTCCCGCCGCCCCCTCCGGGAAGGAGGGGACCCTCGCGTCCCGGGCGCTGTGTCCCCAGAGGCGGCGGGTGCTGGGAGCTGCGTGTGCTGTCTCCATGGACGCGCAGGGGAGGGGCCTGCGCTGGGCGACGCCGAGTCCCAGAGACGCGGTCGGTGACTCAGAGCAGGAGCCGCTCCATGTGGAGGGGAAGGGGCTTCTCTCACCAACACAGTCACCTCCTCCCCAAGTCGCCACGCGCCTGGGGGCCGCCCTCCTCTCAGTCTCACAGCTGGAGGCCTGTTGGAGGGGACGCGGCTGCAAACACCCCTGCCTCCCTCCCTCCCCGCTCTGCCCTGTCCCCGTGGGAACCCGCCCCGGGCCCCTCAGCAAGGCCACCAGCTCTGGCTCCCGGGGGGGAGCCCCCTCTTTCTGAGCGAGAGGGAGGGGCTCCCTCCTGCTGAGCACAGTTTTCAATGAGAAAAGGAGCCGCACTGATCAACTGTCCTGATCACAGAGGGAGAGGCCATGGCCGCACACACAGCCCAGAACGAGCAGGATCCTGCGAAATGGGTGCCTGTGGGGTCAGTCCCCTGAGGCTCACACTCAGGAAGAATGCATTTCAATTATGGGGACAACACACACACATTGTAGAGAAAACAAACAACACCCGCACTTTAAAGTCTTGAAGTTGGGCCCAATGAAGCATGGCCTTTGGGGTGAACATGCCATTTGCTGCCCCTGTTGGCGCCCGAAGGTGTGGCTGCAGGAGCCGCGTCCCTCCCGCGGGGGGCGCTCTGCACAGGGAACTCGCCACAGGCCAGCGACTCAGGTGAAACTTTAAAGGCCCAGGAGCTCCGGGCGGACGCTTCCCACTCAGCTCCCGGGGCTCCTCACACTAAGGTGCCCCGCAGGCGGGGAGCCACAGGAGGCAGATGGGGGAGGGGGTCAGAGGCCCCACCTCCACGGGGGTCATGGCAACGGGACCCCAGCTCCCCCTCATCCTCCGGGCAGACTCCCTAGGGAGAAGCAACCAGGTGTGGGTGACCGGAACCCCAAAGGAAGAGGAGCCTCCTGCGCTGCCC